CGGACGGCCCCAGGGAGGAGAATAAAACCTGAGAAAAGCCCCCAGAGAAAGGCAGCCTTCCGAAAGTATCCTAATCTGGTCAACTTCCTGATGGGGCCCTCAGGGTGACACACACAGAATGGGGAACAGGCAATACACACGCACACGCAAACACACGCACATGCACACACATCAAGAGCTAGAGCCAAGTCCAAAGAGAACTGGGAAAGAAACAGAGAGGATGAGGCAGGAAAGGAGAGAGACCAAGCTCTCAGAGACCCCAGGGACAGATGAAGGCACCGGCGAGGACGAGGTCTGGGGCAAACCTGCAAAGGAGAGCCCGTAGGAGACAGGCGGGGCTCATCACAGCATCATCTGTGGTGGCAAAAAAAGCAGAAAGAGCCAAATGTCCATCTCTGGGGAGAAGGCTGAACCACCCCATGCAGCCCAGCTCTGGCAGCAGCACAGGAAATGGATTAGTGCAACTATTTGTTCTAGGGAGATAGAGCCCCATGAGAAATGGTGAGGGCAAAATCCCACTGGGACATCATTCATACATCATGAGGCCATTTCTTTTAAAAAGAAGAAAAAAATTCTGACAAGACTCTCTGACCCTATTCTGTGTTTTCCAGAGGAATAGATACACTTCCACTTCCAGTTGTTCACTGGTTATTTCCTAGTACTCTTTTATCTTGTGACTCATTAAACTCACTTAATGGTTCTAGGATCTTTTTTGTGGAGCCGTTAAAAGTTTCTATGTAGACAATAATGTCACTTGCTAATAGAGACAGTTTTATTTTTTTCTTTTCCAGTCTGTATGCTCTTTTAATTCTTTTTCTTGCCTTATTGCATTGGCTAGGATAGTCAACATGATGTTGAGTAGGAATGGGAAGTCCTCTCCTCATTGTTAGTCTTAGGAAGAAAGCTGTCTCTCACTACTAGGTATGACTGGAACTGTTTTATGGGGGGGGGTATGATTTTTTTTTAATTGGTGGTGCTGGGTCTTATGCATGTAGGCCATTGGGTATGAATCAATCCCCCCACACACACCCACACAATACAATCAATCTAGTTTCCTCTTGGGAAAGGAAGGACTGGGGTCCAGGATTGGTGGAAGAGGCTTTAATCTTGTGTTTTACTTTTTAAGGAGATAATGTATTTGTATATCACTGGTGAGACTGAAATGTAATTTTTGTGAAGAGAATCGAAAGAGGGATGGCAGAAAAGGGGGAAAGGGAGAGATAAAGAACAAGGAGGAAGAGGAAACTCACAGACAGACACACCTTCCATCTGTCTGTCTGTCCTACATTAGTTACACACATTCCCTGGCCCTACTCTGTGCTGACTTCCACGGAAGACTGTGTCATCAAGGGCCGGCAGCCTGGGGGGCAAGAAAGACCCCAGAACCCAGGCCTGCCTGGCTGTACCTGGAGGGGAGCACCTGGGGTAAGGTGGGGATCCGGGGGGACAGAAGGAGCCAGCAGGGGCTTCTTGATTCTTGGAAGAAGAGTTTGAGAGGGGGAAAAAGAAGCCCTTGTGGGCAGCAGGAGACATGCACTGGGAGATGGATTCACAAAGGGAAGGGTCCACAGATCCGGCAAGCAGGGGATGGACGGACGGAGGGCTTGTCTGAGCACCAGGGTGGACGCGAGGCGGCAGGCCCAGCAACGCCAAAGCCGAGGTGCCTCCCAGGCTCCTTGAGGGTGGGAGGAGGGGACGGGGTGACGCCCAGGTGAGAGAAGTGAGCACGTTCCCCAGCTGAGAGGAGCCAGCCGAGGAGGAGAGCCTGCTCCTGTCCTGGTGATGACATCGGCCATGAGGACGGGGAGCACCAAAGAAGGATGCTGGAGGGGGGTCAGCAAGAGGTGGAGGTTGAATTGGGGGTGGAAGGCAAGAGCCACGAGGTTTGGGGATAGGAACCAGGGATGAGGGGGGAGGCTGGGGACTTTGATCCTGCCTTGGTGAGTCCGTGACGCTGTCGGGCATCCCAGTGGGGTGGCAGGAGGGGTGGGGAGCACACAAGCTTGTCTTCGTGGAGCGAGGGTCTTGGAAGCCCAGCCTGGTGCAGGAGAGGGATGGAAGGAGGAGGCGTGGAAAAGTGACCTGGCAAATAAGACTGCTGTCAGTCCCCAGACACACACGTGTGACGACTCATCTTGCAGTGTAGCCTTCGAGGTCTTTCTCCTGGACTCTGAGCTCCTAAAAGACACGGCCTGGGGCTTTGGAGCCTGTGTCCTCAGAAGAGACCCAGTAGGTGCTCAGTAAAAATTTGTTGGGTAGCTGATGAATGGACAGATGGATGGACGGGTGGACAGGTGGATGCAGTGGGTCAGATTTCACTTATCTAGGCTTGGGCAGAGTCAGGGGCTGAGAGGATGGTGGAGTGGGGAGGGGGGGCGCTGAGCAGCTTTTGGAGGAAGATTCTCCAGGAAGGAGAACAGATGGGCTGTGGGCGGCGAGCGAGCGAGGACTCAGAGATGACTGGGGCTGCTGGCTGCGGACCCAGGCAGGCAATGACACTCAGCACTAATGAGAACAAGGAGAGAAACACATTAGGGGTGCGGAAGTGATGTGGCGAGTTTGTCATATGCTGGGTTTGTGGTACCAAAGCCAGCTGGGGATCGGCTCCGAGTTTCCAACTCGTGAGCAGAAGGCAGTCTGTAGGGCTGCAGCACCCGGGGCAGCGTGAGCAGGTGCAGGGAAGGAGCAGGGGCCCGGGCCACATAGCAGGTCCCAAGGTGTGAAGGCAGGTGAAGGAAGAGGAGAAGACCAGGGCAGGGGCCGGGGACAGCGCGCGGTCACCCGCGCACACGCAGACAAGCTGGGCCAGCCCAGGTCCTGACAGGAAGCAGGTGTTTAATCAGCGTCGTGTCGATTAATCAACAAATAGGTGGACAAAGTGTGAATGACAGTGACCCAGAGCCTGGGAGCCACCCCAGCCTGGGCCCCAGAGGGAAAGGCGTGAAAGACGGACAGATGAACACGCATGCTTGCTCACGCACGCACACGACACAAACAGCTCGTAAACACAGAGCAAAAATCCAACAAGGGTCCCCTGAAGAAAGGAAAAGAATGTGAGATAAAGGCACAGGCAGTGAGGGGAGGGAATGGGACCTTCAGACAAACAGCAGGAGCCAGACACAAAGACACTGCACACACACACACACACACACACACACACACACGCACCTCCTCCCAGACTGGCACAGAACCTGTGCTTGTTGATGGATGGATGGGTGATAGTGGATGGGTGGATGGTTGGATGGATGAATGGATGGATGGATGAGTGGGTAGGTGGATGGGTGGATGGGTGGGTGGGTGGTTGGATAGTGGGTGGGAGAATAGATGGGTGGATGGATGGATGGATGGATGGGTTGATGGATGGTTGGATAGGTGGGTGGGTGGATAGATGAGTAGATAGATGGATTGATGGGTGAATGGGTG